TCTCCCACCCCACCCCGACCAGGTGCCTCCTCATCAATCAGGGTTCTTCCAGCCCTTTTGGATGTGTTCCATAAGTAGATACTTGTGTAACTGTCCCCCGTGCAAACCATCCCTGGCATACATGGTAACGCCTTGCAATTGCTGCTCCGTAACTTGTGTTTGGAAGTTGAATGTTATCTGGCCAGTCACATTTCTCAATACTTCCCTTTCATTTATTTATTTATCTTAAATTTTTAGTCATTTTACACACCAACCACAGTTTCCCCTCCTTCTGTTACCCCCCACCTCCCCCTTACCCCACCCACCCTATCCACTCCTCAGAAAAGAGGAAGGCCTCCCATGAGGAGTCAACAAAGCCTGGCATAGCAAGTTGAGGCAGGACCAAGCTCCTCCTCCCTGCATCAAAGTTGAGCAAGTCATCCCACCATAGGGACTGGGCTCCAAAAAGCCAGCTCACCAGGGGACAGATCCTGGTCCCACTGCCAGAGGCGCCACAAACATACAAGCCAGCGGTTCATCTTCTGGGTCTTACATCTTATTTTAGAAGCTCTTGGGTGCCATTGGGTGCTCCATTTGATTTAAAAAGCTAGGGCCTGCATGTTTACTCACAGGAGCCTTTAGAAACTATGGCCTGGTGGGCCAGAGGCTGCAGGAGAGGAATACCCGGTCAGGAAATCGAGCCAGGCTCCCCTTTCATCTCCTGCGGGCTCCCTTGGCCTGGCCCCTTCAGAGCCCACAGGCCGCAGCACTGTCTGCACCCTGCTTCCCCTTCACTGGGTCCCACAACATTGTCCAGGTAAGTGGAAGGAGATGGCGGAGAAAGCTCTGAAGCTGTTGGTGTTTTGTGCATTTCCAGGGTCAGGATCAGGCTGTGTCTAAATGTGAGTGGAGATACATTTGGTATGAAAATGACTCTATACTGATTCAGTTCAGTGGAATCCAGAGAAAACTGGTTTTGAATATTTAGAAAAACCAATCAAGCATCAGTTGGTGGTCAAACTGGCTGGCAACTTAAGTCTACCTAATCTTTAAAGTCAAAGGAAAATACAGAAAATGCACCCATAGGGTGAGGGTAATTATTTTTTTTAACAGACTTTATTTTTTAGATCAGCTTTAGGTTCACAACAAATTTGAACAGAAGGTATGTGGTTGCTGTTTGAACATCCGTGCCTTGTTTTCTAGCATCTGTACTAGCCAGCCTGCTTTCCTTCCTCTGCTCCTGATGACATGGCCTCTTGGCCATCAACTTGTTTTCCTGTCCCTTCTCTAGTATCTTAAGATGGGTAAGGGAAGAGAAGAGATCTGAGTTCATTTAGCTTTTCTTATAATGAAATCATATCTTATTTAAGTCTATAAAAGCAAGGACAAAATTTTTTGTATACTCAAATGTTTTCTTAGAAATTGAAGAGGTACATGAAGTTGTTGGGTTTTTGTTTGTTTTATCCCCCCCCCCAGTTTTTAATCAGATACATATTTCTTCAACTGATACTGGGTGAAATAATAGATTTGTATTACAGAGCAGGTTAAGGAGGGAGGTGGTCATTTAGACATTGGACTCTGAAGCAGAAGGGTGGCAAGTTCAAGGTCTTCCCGGACCACAGGAAAGCCCCAAATCAAAAGCACAATGAAAATAAATAAAGGTCTGGTACTACAGGCCAATGGCAGAGCACTTACTTACCATGCATGCAAGACCCTAGGCTCAAGCCACAGCACTGGAAAGCAGAGCGAAATCCAGACTCATATTCTCAGTGGTGAGACCAGGACCAGGGGAAAACTCAGGAACCCTTGTTCAGAAGGTATTAGGAATGTCAAGACACCAGCAATGGGACATTAAACCAAGTGAGTGGTGGTGGTGGGATTTAGTCTTCAAAATAGCGCCTTGTACAAATGCGTAGGTAGCAGCCTCAAGAAATGAGAAGCTCAGAAGTCAGATCAACCCAGAAGAGAGGCCTCAAAACCGCCCAGAGGAAAACAGAGGGTTAAATCACGGACAGTATTTCCTCATTCTGTGGGGCTTCCGTACCTTCTCCTGCTCCCTCACTCCACCACAACAGCTGTGAGTGTATTACAGCTGAACTGGGGTTCCATGCAGTTAACCCAAGATGCAACTCCATCAGCAAACTGGTTGAGAGACTTGCAGGTCTCTCTTACAATGATGATTTTGTTTTTGATTCCTCCTCTACCAGGAAGTCCTTGTAACTTAGAACTCAAATTGCAGGGGCTCAGGATTTAACTAGTAGATTGTTCACGGCTCTGGCCCCTTGTAGCATTAGAGAGAGAGGAAAAAAACTCACAAAAGGGCCCCACCACTGCCACCAAAAACAGGGGCAGAGACTAAAAGTTTTCAGAGGTGTAAAAATGGAAGTATGCGCATTCATGCAAACATTTTTATCTGCTCTTAGTTGATGTCTTTGTTTTGCCAAGGAAAGCAGATAAAATATATAATTTCTAACACAAACTGTACCTGGGGGGAATGAGGTTATTACCATTTGTCTTCCTAGTGGTTCAAAGCAAGTAATTTACAAACATTAGGTTCAAAGCTGGGTGTAATGGCACATGCTTGTAAACACAGCACCCCAGAGGCCGAGGCAGAAGAATCAGGAGTTGGCAGGCAGCCCAGGACACATAGTGAGGCCATGTCTCAAATAAACAAATACAGACCCCAAATCAGATGCAATCATAAGATTTCACCAAATGAAGTTTTAATCATTTTACTTGCTAAAATGGCTTCCTTTTCAGATATTTGCCCCAAGAAAGTCGTGAACATAACCTTAGCAGTGAGGACTTTATGGTTTGAGCTGTGCAGCAAGAACGAGATACAAAGCTTTCTGTGGGGGAGGCTGGGGTGTGTGCGTGGGTTGCATGCATGTGTGAGTGTGTAATAGAATGAACTGCCTTGTATTTATCAGAGCAACACAGGCAGACAGCAGTCGGCCAGACATTCTCCAACGGGCTTGCGGATAACAAGCCATTTAAACTAAGGAGACGAAAGATTGGTTTCCTGTATTTTCTCTTCCTGGCTTGGCTCCTGATGTTAGCCTCTGCCGTACTTCACTGGACTTCAAGGTCCTCACCTTGCAACAGGCTGAAAACTGACTCATCTGCTTTGATGAAGACTGTTCCCTTCGGCACATTTGAGCTCTAGAAGTGTCAAAGTCAGTTGGTCACCCAGGTAGACTGGACAACTGTGCTGACTCATGCTCACCTGTCCCTAGTAAATGACATAGCACAACACTTAGTCTGCCAATACCAAGCTTGCAAGGCACATAGTTTCATGTGTCATTGTCACACGGTTACCAGGAATTTAGAGATATTTTTGGTTAATCTATTTTATTGTGACTTTTTTTTAGGGAGTTGTGTGGTGGTGGTTATTTGGCAAGCCTTGAGACTAGAGGCTGCCATCTGCTTATTCCAACAAATAGTGTAAATAACAATGGGTTCATGGGAAGGAACCTGGGTACCAACAACACTTTCTCTTCAACCTCTTGATCTGTATTTTATTATTTCTTAGATTTTGTATCTGTGTGTATGTGTCTATGTGTGAGAGTGTACCTGTGCATATGTGCATATGTGCATGTCTGAGGAGTCCAGGAGAGAACACTGCATCTCTTAGAGCTAGAGTTACAAGTGTTTGTGAGCCATCCAACGTGGATGGCGAGATCCAACTGACTGTGGTCCTCGAAGCAAGGACTCTTACCAGTCATGGCTCCAGTTTTAGGCTATCTATTTTAGGAGAGCGACAGATGCAAATGTATACAAAGTACTAGGTAGGTTTGTTGAGAATGACTTGCCAACTAGTTTGAGCAGCTAACACTAAGTGTCTCCTATGTAGATTGCTGTAGTTCCTTCCATTCTCACAGTACCTGAGTGAAACAAAACCATTGCCGTCCCACTGAGCAACATCTCCCGTGTAAGCAAATGTTAGGGACTGGGTGCGAATCTAACACCAGCCCAGGTTGTACAACTGGATTTATACCTTGCTTTAAAACAGTCTGCTTTTGTTTTTCTTCTTCCTGGAATGATGATGGCCAATCTGCCTCCACAATCCAGATATGATTTTAGGCCTAAACATAAATATTTCAGCTCATATAAAGTTTATTTATTTATTATATGAATACCGATTTGTTTATTTTTATGAATCCCACAAGTAATAACGATCTGCATCTGGTAGAACAGTGGTTCTTTGCGCTGAGGGGAAGACCGTTTTCTTCACATCCAAGAGCAAACTCAGAAGTCATGCTTAGTGCGCCCGATCACACAGAGGCCTTCCCAGCACTTATTTACATTAACCCAGGTCGAAACTTCTCCCCAAGATAGAAGACTCTCGGAGTAAAAACACCTTATCTTTGCACACACCTAAGGCCTGCAGAGAACTCGCGGAGGTGTGGCTCCCAGAAGCCAATGGCATGATTCGGAGGCAAATCAGGACCGGTGTTTACTACGAGAAGTGCCGCGGTTGGTCGCTGACGTGCGCGGGACCAACAGGGGTTCGGGACATGGCTGGCTCGCTTGACCCCGTGTGAGGACAGTGTGAAGGTGGGCGTCCAGTTTTCATAGCATAGCAGCGAGCGGGTCCGTTGGGGGTAGTCAGCATCAGCCCAGTTGATGAACAGGGTTCGGGGCGCCACCCGCGGCGCCGCCCGGCCCCCAGATCGTCAGGCCACGCCCCGACGCTGAGGCCCCGCCCCTGCAAGCCGGGGACGCTCCTGGCCATAGGCTGCCCCAGTTCCGTGTACCCTCCTCTCCCCGCCCCTGGGGGCCCGGACCGTACCACCAGCGGGCGCGGGGGAGTCTGTCTCCTCGTGTGCAAACGGCTGTCAATCCGAGCCGTCCCCGGCCTTCACGATAGGTGTCTGAGGAAGCCTGACATTCTGTATGCCTACTCTGTGAGAGTTCAGCGATCTCAGCTCGAACTGCCCTGGATCGCCGAGCCGCGGCGCCAGCGTTCCCCCTCCCGTCCTTTCACGGATGGTCTCGCCCAGGGAGGACCTCCGGACCCTTTAAATACCGCGTGGGGTGGCCGGAGGGCTCCGGAGTTGACAGGCTGGTGAGCCGCCCTCTGTGTGCGGTCCCGGGAGGGGACAGCAGAGCCCCGCCACCCCGGACACCCCGGCCAGCCCGGCTCCCACCCTCGAGTGTCTGCGCGGGATCTGGGGGTGCGTAGCCATCCCAGGGGAGGGCCCGTGGGACCTGAGGGCAGCGGGGGGCTGCTTGTGCCTCCGGGGTCGGGGCATTTGAGCCCAGGTCTGAAGTGGGGCGAGGTGGCGGTGCTGCCCGGGCTGCGCCGGGTCCGCCGGGCCGTGATGACACCCCTTTGGGTGCGTGCCAGCGACTGCGCTCCGGGCGCGCGACACTCCGGGCTCCCAGCGCGGGGGTCCCCGCTCCCCCGGGCCTGGAGAGTGGGGTGAGCCGCGGTGGGGCCGCGCCGGGCCGGGCCGCGGCCTGTGTTTGGGGCTTGTTGCCGGGTTTCTCTGGTGCTGGGCTCTGCCTCACAGTCCCCTCCCCCAAGCGTTTGTTTTGACAGGAAACGTGGTGCAGCTGGAGGGCGGGGCGAGCGGAGAACGTGGGCGAGCGGGTGGGACTCCTGAGACTTCCGTTGGACTTGGCCGTCCTGGAGGCCAGCTCAGGTCACTTCTGGGTCAGACACTTGCCTTCTAAGGATGGCTTTGTGCTCAGGGTGGCATCACAAAACATAGCAGCGAGATTTGGTGGCACGTGGATGACACAGTTACGTGTTTACGTTAGTATGGGAGGAAGAACTTCCATTAAACGAGCGACTTCGCAATGACATGACGTTTCCTTTTCAAATGCGTTTATTAGAATGGGAGCGTGGTTTTATGGCAGAGCACTTCCCTGGCCTGTGCAGGACTGTAGGTTCTGTTCAACCCCGACCACCAGAAGCCCAAACCAGGTGTTTAAATGCAAGAATGTAGCCAACAAAGAAGTGTTTACAGTACAAGCAGAGGAGTTTGGAAACACTTAACAGTGGTCCCCGCGTGCCTGAAGTGAATCTCTTTTATCCTTGTCTTGGTACCTTAACGTGAAGAAACCAGGCAGCTTGCCCTTGTCCCCAGTGAGCCCCTCAGCACTCCAGGTGTCCAGCTCAAAGGTCTTGGTTTTCTTACCTGCCAACTGATAATAAGGTTCTTATGCTGGTTCCTGGGCCAGGCGGCTCCCTGTCTACGGCCTTTTCTTCCTGCTTCTAAGGATTTCATACATTGCCCCACTTGAGGTGGCCCAGGGCTGAAGGCCCAGTCATGTGTGTGTACAGCAGCTAACGTGAGGGGCACCCGGGAGTGTGAAGCACTAGTGTTAAGCTAGGAGCCACGATGGCAGGAGAGCGCTTTCCAGGATGCAAAGTGCCTAGCAATCTTCCCTGATGCTGTAATGGCACGTGGAGCACTAGCTCTCTGAGCAGCAGTGTTGTTGCAGGGACTGCTCTCTCAGTCCTATGGTTTTTGCCTTGCTCTGGGATGGTGCTACAGCAGCAAGCATTTGGTAGAAGAAGGAAATTTTCTAGCATCTGCGATTTTTTCCATCAGTGCTCAATCTTGCCCTTGCCACCCCCCACTCTCCTTCCCTGGTTCTCTGGGTGCCTTGTGCTTGACTTTGGTATGGTCTGGAAGAAGGGTACCCACTAAATGTCTCTTGACAACTCTTTTTCCCACAACCTAGCCTTAACTGTAGAGGTTTCATTCTTCAGGGCCCTGTTGGGTAACCTAAACAATTTACTTCAAAATAATTTTGACTTGGTTAGGTGTAAGCCCTTGGGATAATACCTGGGCTTTAACAAGGGAACTCTTATAGAGGGCTTTTGTCACTGTAGTGGGGTGGATGAATGTTGTTTTGTTGAATGGTGCCTTGCAGGGATGTCCTTCACCGTATGCTGCTTGAACAGCTGCCCCGGGGTAAGGTCATCCTGCTTCCTCATGTGCAAGTGTCCATGTGATGGCAGACGATCAATTTGGCAGCAAGGGAATGGAAAGAATGAGCAGCACAGGGGTTTCCTCCAGCTGCCCGGAGCAGTAGAAAGTGTGGGCTTCAGGGTTCCTGCTGCTGGCTTCAGTTGAACCCCTGCACTGCCGTAAACCTTTGGGCCAGTGATGCCGTCTCTCAGACCCATTCTTATTTAAACAAGGACAGCATCTACCTAACTCAGAAGATTTGAGGAAATCAATTATTTTAAGCACTTACAGAGTATTATTGAGATCATAATAAACATCCACAACTGTTGGTTATAATTGTCACCTTTTAGTGTTAGTGGGTGTCCGAAGAGCACAGTGGTACAATGTGTGTGTGTGTGTGTGTGTGTGTGTGTGTGTGTGTGTTTTGTGTTTTTGGCTTTTTTTTTTTGCAAGACAAGGTTTCTCTGTGGCTTTGGAGGCTATCCTGGAACTCACTCTGTAAGCCAGGCTGGCCTCAAACTCACATCCATCTGACTGCCTCTGCCTCCCAAGTGCTGGGATTAAAGGCGTGTGCCACCACCACCCAGCTATGTGTGTGTTCTTTAAGCTCCTACATGGTGCCAGCCTTTAATCCCAGCACTCAGGAGGTAGAGGCAGGTGGATTTCTGTGAGTTTGAGGCCAGCCTGGTTTACAGAGTGAGTTCCAGGACAGCTAGGGCCATTACACAGAGAAAACCTGTCTTGGAAAAAATAAAATAAAACCAACAACAACAAAAGTTACTGGGAAGGCAGAAATGCAGACTGGTAAACTACTATGTTAAGAGACTGCTTAATGAGCAATGCAATCCAGGCAGGACAAATTGAAAGCTCTGGTTGTTTTATGAATAGACGTGGGGACAAATTTGTTCATTTAAGATATTCGCTGGGATCCTGTTTAACCTAGGCAGTGATCTGAGCTCTGGATGGCTAATTTATATGAGACAAGAGTGTCCTGAAATTGAGTATGAATGACAAGAAGGGATGGTTGGCATGGCTGCCAATCTCCCAGAAGTTTGCTGTGCTTAGAGCCTGAAGGGTTGTGGTATGGTGAGAACAAAAACTGAAAAGTGACCTCACATTCTTCTATAACTGGCATTGATTGATTCTTGAGTGTGAAGCCTTCATGACCTAAGCTTTTCCTTGGGCCTTATTGATCAATGCTGTCAAATTGTGAGTTTCTTGGTCCTCTGCAAGAGCTGCAGGTGTTCCTAGTTGATGAGCCATCTCTAGCTCTATAACACTATATCTGAGGGGAGATTTGAGCTTCCAAGATCTTGGTGTAAAGCTACCCCTGTGGCCCAGCTAATACTTCCTGGAGGAGTTATCCAGTGGGATCTAGCCCTGACTCCTTAGTTACACTAGGCATAGACTCTTCATAATAGCTCTATGTCTTCTACAACTTTCTGTCTGGATTCCCAGGCCAGTACTTACTTTGAAGTCAAGGTGAAGGTCACTGTGGTCTCACAGCTCTTGCATTCTGTGTGACTGCAGAATTAATACCACCTGGACATGGCCAGGCTTCTCAGTTTTTATCTGTTGTGTGGCAAGACTTTTCCCGGGGAGACACAACACACATCTATTTTCACCCCAGACGGAGCTCACAACAAACCAGAGTATGGATCCTATCCAAGTACAACTTGGTGAGTTTTATTAATGGTGCTTAAGGAGTATGCGGGAGGGGTAACTTACAGGAGCAGAGATGACTCAGACAGCTACACCACCAAAATCCACTCCAGGATGGGTGACAGCTTCCCGAGCTGCGAATCTAGAGCACACTGCACAGCCTGGAGGCAGGCAGCTCAGCAGGTTGAGAGTGTCCTTTCCAGGAAACTTTTATCTAAACCCCTCCAGGCAGCTGGGCTGGTCTCACAGTCTCTGCCCCTTGGTTTCTTTCTTTGGGAGGGAGTGGCTAGTGAATCTGGTCAGTTCCAGGGGTCTCAAGAAGCTGTCTTGAGTTGTTCACCTTAAGGAGCTTCCCTACAGGGTGGAGTGTTTCCTTCTGGGAGGAGACTGCTACACAGCATCATAGACAGTGGCTCTCCACCTTCCTACTGCTGCCACTCGAATACAGTTCCTCATGCTGTATTATTTTCATTGCTGCTTTATAACAGTAGAAACTTGTAATGTAAATATCTGATATGCAACCCCTGTAAAAGGATCCTTTGTCCCTCAGAGGGGTCACAACCCACAGGTTGAGAACCCTTGATCTTACAATTTGTCAGTTGAACTACACCTGGGTCTGTATGATCCAAAAGGGTGGCTGAGCCAGAGTTGAGTAGAATCCTAAGGTAGCAGAGGGCAGCAAATATGATGGTGATCCTGTGACACCTTCCATTGTAATCTCTTTAGCAGAATTTCCTGGGCCACTTTGGTTTTGTTCTTCTAGAGATGTCTTTTCACACTTCACATGTCCAAGCATATGAACTTATAAAATCTTTCAACTGTGTTTTTCTTTCTCTTCTCTCACATCTTGTATGTGGCTAAAAGTAGGCATATGCATCCTCCAATAGTTTCCTTAGGAACATCTTCCCTTAAATGCCCTGTTCCATAGCTCTTATACACCTTCCATAAAGCCCTTGGACATAGGCAAAATGTGCCAAATTCTTGCCACTCCTGTTCCTAATATTGTCCTATATGTCCTTTTGAGACATCATCAGCGTTGTCTTTACTGTCCTCATTTCTAACATCCTGTTTCATAACAAATGAAGCCACACTTAGATTTTGAGTTTCCCTCACAGCTGTTCTGCATGTTCCATTCACAGCAGTCTAAATGTTTTCTAGTCTCTTCCTTCTGATTCTACCTTGTTGCCCAGTTCCAAAACTCCCTCTCCATTTTCAGGTACTTGGTTCAGCTATAGCCAGCCTTCCAGTTTCAATTTTCTGCCCACTCAGTATGTGATTCTATAGGATAGTACTACAGACTAATTTATAGTGAACAGTAATGTGTTTGGCTCACACGGTTAGAAGGCTGGGAAGTTTAGACGTAGGAACCAGTGTCCGTGGAGGTCCTTCCTGCTCCATGTATGGTGGAAGGCATCCCATGGGCAAGGGAGCACACAACAGTTCATACTTGCAGGCATGTGGCCTTTGAAGATCAGTGTTAATCCATGTATGACATAACGCCGTCACTAGGCCCCTCCTCTCAAGATGTTGCTTTGTGGGAAACACCACCAGACCACCACAGTTTATCAAGAATTATATCCTCAGCCTCTGGTTTTCATGGCTTTAAAGATTTTCAGAATCATAAATTATTTTAACACTATAATTGGCATCTGACAGGACATTACTAGGTACTTAAGCATTGGACTTGACTATTTCAGGCAATCTTCGCAATTCCAGTCTGAAGATAGCAGGAGTCAGGATCAGGAACGTTGTCTGCTTGGCTAGAAATGTTCTTACTGCTTAGCTGACACTTATGTCAATGCTGGTGTATCTTTATAATCCTGAACCAGTAGGGTTATTTATAGAAAGAGTTTTCTGTAGAAAGGAAATAAGATTTACAAGTATAAACTAAAGAATCACAAGCAAATTAAAAACTGATTTCCTTGCTCTCTGTGGTAACCAGCCGTGGTGGGACACATGGTTGGCTCCTTTAGGTTCCTGTATCCTTATCTTTGTCTCTAAAATGTTAGCAGTAAATGTCCATTATTCATCCACGTATTTAATTCAACAGTAGGTTACCCTAAGAAGGAATGGCATAACTCTTTGGTTTCTTTGAATAGTGACCCATTGTAATAATGTTGGAAGCTTTACTTGGAGGCACCTTCTCACTTTACTTTTGACCAGTGAGTCTCGGGTTGGATGAGATTGTGTGTTCCTGAAGAATCACTTGATTTAACTGGGAGTTGCTTTGGTGATCAGCTAGGTGCATCTAAGTTTGTGGGTATGAAAAGCATTGTGCTTCTCTAAAGCACACAGAAATGTTGAGGCCATCTAGTTACCCTCACCTAGTTACCCTCACCTAGTTAGTTACCCTCACCTAGTTAGTTACCCTCACCTAGTTAGTTACCCTCACCTAGTTGCCCTCACCTAGTTGCCCTCAGTGCCTTTGCAGTCCAGTTGGTTTGTCCCAGATGACTCGTGGGAACTCAAGATGAAGGAAGGTAAGACTTGGCTTGAAGGCGCTCACAGAAGACCTTTCACCCTGAGACAGGACATCTGAGTTAGGGTTTTATGTTTCAGACAAGTGTGTGAGTTCTGTCCTAGGGTCACTGCCAGCCTTGTTTATCTGTAAGGAAAAAAACCCATGATTTTGTTTTCCTGGTTTAATGTCCAAGGTGATTTGACAAACAAGAGCATATAATCACCTGTGTCCTGTTGTCTATGAGTCAGACAATGTCCCAAACAACCTTTCCTTAGTAAGTAAGTGAAATCTCCCTCCAGCTCCACAAGTTAGGTATTTGAGGTTTGCCTGTATAAAAACTAGACAATTTCTTAACAAAGCAGTGAGTGTATTGCTTCAAACATATGCTTCTGCTTGGATGTGGTAAGTCCCAGTGTAGCACAGATGCTTTTGCCAACAGTGTGAGATGTTTCAATTTTCTGTTAGAGCAGTGTGCCTCAGATTCTACCTCTAGTAACATAGTGACACAAACCTTAGTTGTAAACAATTAAACATGCTTGTTGTATGTTTGCTTTCTCAAAACATCTCATGATCTCTGGTTTGCGGGAGCATTTTAGCAATTTCTGACTGAAAGATTCTGTGTAATTAGCCTACCTCACTGCCCCATCTTCTCCCCAGAAAACAGCTGTGCATGAAGTCACAGTAAGCTATCCACAGATTGGGTTCTAGCTCTTAACCTCATGCTTCTTGTTTTTTAAGTCCTGCACTTCATTCCCTTGTTCATGTTATTAAGAAACTACCAAATGTGCTGTCCAGCTAGGCTATAAGATGAGCTGGTTCATAAACTACCACAGACAAAAGCTTTTTTCACTTTTACTTGGAAAAATCCCTTGTTGGTGTGAGGCCAGTGCAGTAGAGAAAGAGCAGGGGCCAGTCCAGGAGTGCAAAGACCTGGGATCTGTATTTGAATAGAATAACCTGGGCATAGATGGTGGTGATTTTGCTCTAGGACCTGCGCTTGGGAACAGCAGGCATGTGAATGTGGAGGGCTGTCAGTTTACAGATGTTCTAGTTGAATGTGTACCAAATAGGATTCAGTGACTGTGATTTAGCTGACACTGAATATTTGTTGTGAACTTGGTGCTCGATGAGGCACTGTGCCTGCCGTATCCAGGAGATTTAGAAATAGTCACTGCAAGAAAACAGCTGCAGATGCTTCTTGTGTGTGTGTGAGAATACGTGTCCATGCTGGAAGCCTGCTCTGTCACCCCACCGTAGTTCCTTGAGACAGGGTCTCCCACTGTACTTGGAGCTAGGTTGGAGGCTAGCAAACCCCAGAAATCCTTCTGTCCCTTCCCCCAGTCGTGGGATTACAGATGCATACAACTGTGCCCAGGTTTTTAGTGTGGGCATTGGGGGCTTGATTCAGTTCCTCATGCCTGGTACAGCCATGTTGTGCTCACTGAGCCTTCATCTCCTTAGTCTGCTCAGTCCTGTAGTGGAGAAGGAGGAGATGGCCACAGACCTTCTCAGCAGAGTGCCAAGAGCTGTGTGTAGGACGGAGGGAGGCTTCCTGGGGAGGGAGGCTTCCTGGGGAGCGAGCGCTTTCAGGCAATGCCCACCATGGGAAGAGAAATGTCGGTAGAGAATGACAACAGCTCGTTGTCTCCTGTCCCTGCTTCCAAGTGACAGTTCCCCACTGCCGCCTGTCTTTCCATTTGCAGAAACTCAGCAGTTCTCTGCTTGCTCAAGTTTTGACCCAAGAAAACTCTGTGAGTGTCAAGACTAGAAAACGTTTTGGTTGAGACTAGTGGAAATGCCCTTTGGCCTTTTTCCTGTTTCATGCCCCCTGCCCCGCCCCCAGACTTATCCTCGTTCCTATTGGCACCCGTGAGATGCAGTTTGCTTTATAGCTCACAGCAGCGTCTGGATCTCGCGTCTGTACCCTAGTCCTGACCCTCCTCCCGCTCCTGTTTTCCTTGTACTTCTCAGCAATACCTTGTTTCCACTTCTTTCTTCTGGCACACACAGTTTTGTTTTTGTTTTTTTTTTTTGGGGGGGGTTTCAAGACAGGGTTTCTCTGTATTGTTTTGAAGGCTGTCCTGGTACTTGCTCTGTAGACCAGGCTGGACTTGAACTCAAAGAGATCCGGCTGTCTCTGCCTCCCGTGTGCTGGGATTAAAGGCATGCACCACCAACGCCCGGCTTGGCACACACAGTTTTAAGTAACCGTACTTGAGTACTGTGAGAATAGGGTCATCCCTATGTTGTTCAGTTACTATAGGTACTCCGTAAATATTAACAGCGTCATTAAGAAACTGTAGAGGCATTCCCAGTCATATGCATTGTAATGGTTTCTCTCTCTTCTGGCATTTGTGAAAGTATCCCATCCCTCACTGAAGTGAACTGTCTCTATCCAGGGTTGGAAGTGCCTTCTCCCTTGGGCAAAATTTCCCTTTTGGTGTCAGCTATATACTATGTTCATATCAAGGCAAATTTCCTCATAGCCCTGGCTGGTGTTCTTGAGCCCAGGGCTGGCATTCATTTGCTGTAATCTTTCTAGATTGTGCTAGGCCTGACTCCTTCCTTGGGATCCTGTGTGATGTCCCAGAGAAAGCACGTGACTTAGAATCTAGGGGCTTGTCCCATGGTGGAGTGAATCTCCTAGTCCCCCTGAGTCTGCATCAGAACCCTATGCTCCTAGGTATTTAGTAAGTTGTGCTAGGTGCTTTGTAAATTGTTAAGTGCAAACCAAATAACAGGTCTTGGTCTTTCTGCTGTGACAGTTCGTATGAAAATGTAAGAGATACCTGGTAGCCCAGAAAGACTCATCGGTCTTTCCTTCCCTTGAGAGGCTCACAGAGGTACCAAGAGGTTGTTTGAGCACCCTTATTTTTTTAAGTTGCGTTCTTTGAATTTTCCCTGTGTATGTGTATAGGTATGTGTATACTGCTTGTGGAGGGCAGAGGGCAGTTTGTGGAAATTAGTTCTCTCCTTCTATTGCGTGGATTGCAGGGATTGCACTCACATCTTTGGGCTTGGCAGCAAGTGCACCAAGCCATCTCACCAGCTAGACTTATTTTATTTAAAACAACGCAGTAAGAACAGTAACTATACTTGAGTGCTGTGCAAAGAAGCCCTGTGATACGGTTAATCCTCCAGTCTCCACAAAACCCTGGCAGTTCAGTCTTTGATCTCAGCTTCCCCCAGAACAGAACAAGGAGTCTGCCAGGAGCCCCACAGCAGAGAGCACCTGTGCTCTGTGTGCATGTTCAGGGTCTGTCGTCCCTGGAGCTGCTGCACATTCGCACTGCATGTGGCCTTGAAGCCCCTTTTGTGGAAGGAGTCTTGGTCAGGGTGCTGGGGAAGGGAGAAGGAATTTCTTGAGACTTTTTTCATATACTGTCACAACTGTGGGCATTATATTACCCATGTTGGAAAAAGGATGTCAGAAACCATGTTGGTTCAGGGTCTCTCTGTCCCTTGTCCTCCCCCATCTTTCTGTCTCTGTGTCTGTCTGTCTATCTCTCGTTCTCTCTCCACACCCAAGGTGATACAAGATGCCTTTGAATGGTGAGAAGCAGTGTGTGAACGAAGATCAGCAGAGTGATTCAGAGTCTTCCCGGTTCTCCGAAAGCATGGCTTCGCTCAGTGACTATGAGTGTTCCAGGCAGAGCTTCACCAGCGATTTCTCCAGCAAATCCAGCTCTCCTGCCTGTGAGCAACAGGGAGCAAGGTGGGGCGGCAGGGGTGCCGGCATTGCAAGATGGCTTTGGAAATTCACATGTGTGAGCAAATCACTCTTTTCTTGATACACAGACTAGCATATCAGAGGCACCATGCAGTCTTTGTGTCCTCAGGAATAAGTTTGTAAGCTGCTTGTTTTATTTTGAGCCTGTCTCTAACCTGTTTGGTTTGAGCATGGATGTAAAGCCCCCTCCCCTAGCCTTGTCTGTTTTGTCTCCAAATGGTGGCCACACCCCTTCTTGAGGTTATCTTGTGCAGATTATGATGAAGTCAAATTGGTATTTTCTGTTTCACATTGAAGGAAATTTGCCTTTCCGGAAGGGTGGACAGGAAGTGAAATAATCTAAAGAGGGTTTCCCTACTGATTTCATACGGTGTTGTGCAAACTCCCCCAGATCAACCCATGTGGGGAATTGCTACACTGTGGGTTGTAAGAGAGCCAGAAGAGCAGCTGTCACTAGGGAAACAGCCCCCCCCCTTTTGTCTGTGGACACAGGACATGTGTCAAGCAGATGCTTTTTTTTTCCTTCCCGTTTTTCCTCCACAAGATTTCCCTATTTTAGCCCAGGCTGGCTTTGAACCTGTGTCACTTTCCTCCTCAGCCCCCTGAGGGCTATGGTTGTAGGTATGAACCACTACATGGCTTTGCCTTTTGTTTTTTAAGTTTTGAATTAGCATTTTGTCTAGAAAGTATGTAACACCTTAAACTAGCAAATCTAAGGTAGGAAAAAGCAACTGATGTTCAATAAGATCAGATGCCCACTTGAAAACAATTAGTTTTGTTTATTAAAATTTTATGTTTCCAGTTTTAAACTTAGAAAATTTATAGTAAAGAGAAAAGAAGGGATTGCCTACAGTGTCACCCAAACATGACAGACAGCTGCCAGCACTTTGCCAAACCATTATCCTTCATACTGATGTGGACGCTTGCCCCTAGCATTGTACCCAAAACACATACATACTGTGATAGAATGTTTCCAAAACACAGTCCTTATGACCACTTGTGTGTCATACAGGAAACATATTTATACATATTTATTGATTTGTCATTGAACAGTCATTTTTCATCTTGTTTTGTTCTTTTATAATTGGGGTTTTATGAGCATCCTGATGCACTGAGACTTTCTGGATATCATTGGATGATTGGATCAAAGACTACAGATGTTTTTCAGGAGATTCTTGAGGTGGAAAATCCACAGCAGCTATACACTTCTGCATCTTTTCTCATTCCTGGCACTTAGGAAATCTGATGTTCCTGGGATCAACTTTCTTTCTCATCCTCCTCCCCCTGAGCACTTTCCCGGCCTCCTCGAAACAAACAATAACAGCACAAGGGAGAGTACTGTGCCTTTCTCACAGTTTTGGTTGTGAGTCTAGCCTTTACGGCTCTGCCATCTCTCCAGCCCGTCTGTGCCTTTCTTTATTTGAGGTCGTGAGTTTTAATTAACTGAAGCTGATATTTTGCAACAGTGATTTTGCAAACTTGATTTATTAGAACAATTCCTTGGTATAATATCGATAAATAACTCCAATTCCTTACTATTTTCCTATTGAGTAGATAATTCACCCTCTCAAATATATTTTGTTATGCTTTAATTATGTATAGAGTTCCTCCTATGTTCTTTATTTAAATTACTCAGTGGTGGTGGTACACACCTTTAATCCCAGCACTTGGGAGACAGAGAAAGGTGGATCTGAGTTCAAGCCAGCCTGGTTTACAGAATGAGTTCGAGGACATCCAGGCCTATAAAGAGAAACTCTGTGTTGAAAAAAATTAAAAGAAAAAAATTAAATTGTTGTAACTAATCACCTCAGAAAGGGGCTAATATATGTATCAGTGAAGTCAAATGAATTAACAAATGACAGAAATTGGAATTTAACTTCAGCCTTACACTGAATTGCCTCTACACTTAGGAAGTATGCAGCTTTATCTATCAATCTACTGTGCTTAATACATGAACACATATATCAATAAAGCATGGAAGCCAATTTAGGTTTTTAAAAGATATAATAGGCCTATATTAAGGAGTTTGTTGTAGGAACATTTGAAAATTCATTGTAAATATGGAAACGGAAGCTACAGAAGGAAGCTTACACATTTGAAGTCTTTACAAGGCCACCTTTCTTTAGTGTGTGTTCTCTGACTTGTAAAACCATGGTGCCTACCTGAGAATGAGCCTTGACTCAGGGACATTAGATGCCAGCTTCTCTCCTACTGCAATAGCTGATTTCGTTTTTCTTTCAGCAACAAGCCCTCCCAGGGGTGTAATGTTTGATGATGTGATGGCTGCAGCCAAGAATTTATCAGACATGACTCTCGCTCATGAAATAGCTGTAAATGAGAACTTCCAGTTGAAGCAAAATGCCCTCCCAGAGAACAGGTAACCCGGAAGCCTGTGTGTATATAAATGATGCTAAAGATTCTCTCTGTGTGTGTGTGTGTAATAAGTGTGGTGACGAGTTCTGTGGAAATGTGTTGACTTTAGGGATCAAGCAAGGTGGTCTCTCCTGTGAGCTCTTCCTGGGATGCCTCCTCTTTCAGCAGTTTACTCCTGGCTGACTTAAATTGGGACACCTGCATAGCAGATGGCAGCTATTCAAAGGCGTGTCTCCTTGGGACCAAACTGTCCTGTCCTTTGCCTATACCTAAAATACAGAGTTGTATATAAGACTGTCTACTAAGTAATGATATGCCTTTCTTAGGACAGAATTTTTTTGAAGTTATTGAAAGATTTGCTAACGAAACATTGTAAAGTTTAGGGGAAAACAACATGAATCTCTAAATGAAAAAAGTATTATATTGTGCATATTGGGTATTTTTTAATATTTGTGTGTGTGTGTGTGTCTGTCTGTCTGAGTATGTGTGGACATGGAGGCCACAAGAGGATATTTGATTCCTCCAAGAACCCAGGTGTTTGTGGGACAGCTGACTTGTTAAGAGGGGTCTGAGATTGACTTCCTGTCCTTGTGATTACACGTCTTAACCCACTAAGACATCGTTCCAGCCCAGTGTCTGTTATTGTGTGATGGGCTTGTGGGTAATATTATATGTTTTGGGGTTTTTTAATGCATTTTCTAAGAAATCTATAGTGAACACGTGTCCTTCAGAGCTCATTTTAAATAGTCCTTTTTTTTTTTTTTTTTTTTTTTTTTGCTGTAGCCTTGCTGGTCAAGTGAAGCGTGTTGTTCACCAGGCTTTCTGGGATGTCTTGGAAGCAGATCTCAGTGCTGAGCCTCCCCAGTATGAATATGCCATCAGACTGTTTGAAGAAATCAGGGAGGCAAGTTGATGCTTGTCCTATTAATGCCTTAACACTGGGGTCAGTGTGAAGGATACCATAGATGGATAGCTTATAAACAGTAGACATTCCTTATAGTCTTAGAGACTGGGAAGTCTGAGACCAAGGCACCAGCAGATCTGCTGCCTGGTAAAGGCCTATTCCATAGGAGAATCCTTTGTCTTTTTCCTCACATGGCAGAAGTGGGTAAAAGAGCCCTCTGGGGTCCCTTCCATAAAGGCACTAATTCTACCCATCGTGACTGTACTCTTGTGATCCAATTCCCTGTCAGCACTGGGTTTCAGCCTATGACTAGGGATGGGTGTGCAAATATACTGTAACAGTTGGTTTCTTCTCCCAAAGACTGTTTGGTATCTTCACTGACTTTAGAAGACTGAGCAGTCAGGTACCAGTAGATTCTCTTATGAACTTCCTATAGTGGGAGGTCTAGGGATACAGCAGCAGACAGAACTCAGGGCAGAAATCTGAGCACAGAATAAGACTTTGGAGTTAGACCTGGCTTAGTTATGGGCTCACCCTCTAAAATGTCTGCGTCTTGAATGTTTACAGGGTCATAATAGGAGCTAAATGTCTTTTCGGTACATTTACAAGATGCTTGCTCTTTACATGGACTGTGGCATTATTCTATATACATGTTCTCTAACTCACCCCTGATCACAAAGCTTGGAGAGCAGAGGGATGTGATTTGCGAGCTTGGAGTCCACTGCATTATGAGTACTCAGTTAACCATTGGCTTGTATGGTCTTTGTGTGCAAAGTAGTCTTCATGGACTTCACTGGCAGTTTTCATCTACTCAAGTGTTTTTGGAGCCATTATGAGCAACCTGTTCCTTCTTCCCCTCACTGAAGACTTTTGGAAGTGTTCAGGTTCTGCTTCCTTGTCAGTCTTCATTTTGAAGTGTCTGTCATTTACCACAGTGGTGGCTTTGGTTTCTCTGGTTGAGCTATCTTCTAAGGTTGAGACACTGGGTGTCTCTGATGTACTTGGTTGAGGTGTGAATGGGGAGGATTCTCATCTTCACCCATAACAGTGCTGCTGACCCTCTTCCCTGTGCAGATTCTCCTCTCTTTTCTCATGCCTGGTGGGAACAGGCTTCACAACCAGATATGTGAGGTTTTGGACATTGACCTCATTCGAAAGCAGGCTGAGCACAGTGCTGTTGACATCCAGGGTCTGGCCAACTATGTCATCAACACCATGGGGAAGATGTGTGCTCCTGTGAGAGATGAAGACATCAGAGAGTTGAAGGCTACTACCAACATCGTAGAGATGCTGAGGTTAGCATTTTGCTGAATACATTTCCTTACAGTGTCTTCACATCCATTCAGAAGAGACTTGGAGCACCAGAAACATAGACAACTGGCCTTCCAAAGGAGTTTGTGACACCAGGGGAAACAAAGCAATACAAAGCAAAAACAGAAAGCAAAAAACAAACAACAACAAAAATCCCAGGGAATCAGACAGTCCTTGACAGACTGAAGAATTTTCTAGCAAAGTTCTTAGTCTGCCTTCAGTGGGCCCTATGATATAGTAATAAAAACAGAATACCTGGCCCCAGGGCTTTAGAGTGAAGGGGAGAGACAGCTCTTGAAGAATGTACTGTGCTAATTAAACAGTTGTTCTTGTGCTATTGATGGAGGCTTAGAGGGTTACAGAGCTTCAAGCAAGGGTATTCTAATGTCCCCATGTTAGAGGAAGCCCTCTGCATTGTTAAGAGTCATTAGCTGCTCTTGAATTCTCAGTGATTTTGTACTGGTGTCTGACTCTAGGATTTATTGGTCATGCAGTTCTCCACTTCCCTTTTGGGGACCAAAGCTCCTCTCTCCTTGGTTGTCTCTCACTTAGCTTGTGATAGTTTCTCCATTCAGCTACAAGTTGAAAGTGACGGTGGAACATAGATGAGTAAACTCAGTGACAAAGGGCATAGGCCCTTGACTTTGACAAGCCACACATTCTCACCCAGATTGAAGTAGGGTTCTGGAAGTTAGTTCCTGTCTGGAGATACTTGCCATAGCCTCAAATGTGCCAGAGATTGGTAGTCAGCCATCCAGCTCTGCTACAATTTTTCCAAGGATGTGATGTTCACATTAATGTGTGAGCATCTTGTCAGTCTCTGTAGACAATAACTTACTCATAATCTCAAAGGACATACTGTGAACCACCTATTGCCACCGAGGGAGACTTTTGTTTTTTTATGAATACAAGTCATATTGAGAACCGAGTCTTATGTTATAGTTTTAGAAACCAAGGAGATAGAAACGAGTCTATATATAGAAAGTAATTTCATTTGTAGCCTGTAGCAAGTTGACAGTTTTTCAAGGTGACACTTCACCTGTCTGTAAAATGGACTTTATATGTCTTTAGAATTGTTTTGAGTTCTGGAGACTGTAGAAGCTCTTATTCCAGTCTCCAGGGTCAAATCTCCAGTGGTGACATTGGTCATGGGTACCTACTGAATTCCTTTTTTTTAATCCTCCGAGTTTAGGTAGAGTTGCTTGCATAAGCATGGGTGGAGGCTGTTTGCTGTAGCATGAGTAACTCACGAATGGCTACAGCCATTGAAGAAAATGCTGCCTCCTTTCCCAGCAACATTAACTGATAGTGGCTCCTAGGCCAGGGTGTAACTTCATGGGTACCTCCTGTGTCCATGATGGAATATTGAAGGGCCCAGTCTTGTACCCTTTACCTGCTGTAAAAAGGGACATCTCTGTCTGATGTCATCACTAATCTATGAGTATAAACATAAATATTTAGAAGGCAGTCTGACAATGTGTTTTTAGCCAAACAATAGTAGGTTCATTCTGTGGCCTATGGCCTTCTAAGTCATGGGATTTGATTCAGCTTACAGTATCAAGTGTATATTCATCCTCTGAAATAGGCCTTAAATTCAATCAGAATGTAGTTGTCTACCCCACAAATAGCCATGCCACTATTGCCCAGAAGGTCTGTATTGTAGCCTACAATGCTCACAGCTAGATAGAACGATTGCTGAATTTTCTTCCCCAGAAGCTGGATACCACCTCCGACACTACATACACTAGCTTCCAGGTTGATCTCTCTGTCTGACAATCAAAGTGTATAGGCTCTTCAGCAGTAGACCATGTCTTTCTGTCTAATTCTGGTGGGCAACAAAGAACAGTGGCAATAGACTATGTTTTTTTGAAGAAAATGTTGGGACCTTGGCAACAACTCAGAGGGAGATGTCCCTTTCCTGACAGCAGGCCTTTTGTTTAAAGACTCATGACTTCTGGGAGCAGCATTACCCACTCATGTTTCTTCATTACTAGCTTTTTTAAAAAAATGGGGACTTTAGTTAGCTTATAAAGAAGTGGATTTTCATATGATTTTTTCATGTGTCTTCTGTTCTTGTAATATACCCATGCCCATCCTCCTGCCCCATCCCTGTTTAAACCCTTTCACAGATCGCATCTCCTCGTCCTCAACTTCCATATCCCAGTTGTTTTACTATCTCACCCACTTGGGCCTTCTGCAGCCTCCTGGCTCTTTTCTTGTTTCTTGACCTTTACAGACAGACACATGACTCTCAAAAGTCTAACCTAGGGTCCTCACATGAGAGAAAACATGAAGATTGTCTTCCTAGATTGTCTTCACTCAGTAGAATGTTTTTCAGTTCCATGTATTTTCTTAGACATTTCATAATTCTATTTTTTAACATTTGACTAAAATTCCATAGCATAAATCAGTGTTTCTCAACATGTGGGGTCACACCCCCTTTTGGAGGGGGGCAAGGTTGAATAACCCTTTCACAGATCATCTAAGACCATCAGAAAACACAGATGTTTATATTATGACTTTTTGTTTTTTTTGTTTGTTTTTGACAGGCTTTCTCTGTGTAGCCCTGGCTGTCCTGGAACTCAAAGTTAGAGATCTGCCAGCCTCTGCCTCCCAAGTACTGGGATTAAAGGCATGTACCACCACTGCCTGCCTACATTAAGCTTCTTAACAGTAGCAAAATTACAATATGAAATAGCAAAGAAAATAATTCTATGGCTGGGGTCACTGCCACTTGCAGAACTGTATTAAAAGGTCACAGCATTAGTAAAGTTGAGAACCACTGGTATAAGTGAACCACATTTTCATCCACCCGTCAGTTGACAGGTAAGTAGGCTGGTTCCATTTCCTGGCTATTATGCAAAGAGCATCGATGAGCACGATTGCTTCCTGAATTTGTTTTCATTATCTCACTGCTGTTCATAGCACACTTCCAAGGGGATGTCTTCTTCTCTTGCTCATGGAAAATTGAGGCACGGAAATGCAGAGGAAGTATGCATGACCATAGATCTGGTCAGATGAAAAGCTGCATTTGAGTAGGACTCAGCCTAACACAGCTTTTTCCTCTCAATGTCTCACCGCCCTGCCCTCATATTTACTCAGATGTTTTCCTTCTTTCCTTAGCAGTCCTTATCACTGTGTCCAGGCTCCTGAAAGCTACAGCTGTGGATGAGCTGGTGGTGTGACAATACTGCCACAGTAGATTACTTTGCAATGTCTGGAGAAGACGTTGGAATAGACATGTATAACCTTCCTTGGAAAATGACCCTGGTGAATGACCGTTGACAGCTCAGCACTATTTTCAAGAGGTTTATCTTATCTAGCCTGTGACACATAGGCAGTAGTTGTCAGTTTCAGTTTAACTTCTTAACCACTTCTCATTTCAATTTTGAAATTTTTAGACAAATATTCCGTGTCTTGGACCTCATGAGAATGGACATGACAAATTTTGTCATTAGGAATATTAGACCTCACATTCAACATCATTTGGTGGAATATGAGAGAAACAAATTCCAGGAAATTTTAGAAGAAACTCCAAGTATGTATAATACAGTGTGTGCTTGTATCAAAATATGACACTAACTTTTACCTGTTTGTGTTATGTTAATGTTAAGCCGCTTAAAAGTTGGTATCATAAACTTTCAGGGTTTATTTGTTTGTTTGTATTTTTTGTCCCAGGAGATATGCTGAACAAGTCTTATTTTTCCATTTATTTATTCATAAAGGTTTATTGAGCATCTGCTGTATCCTATTGGGAAGGTGCTATGGTATGGAAATAGATAATACAGAATGAAGTTGTGGTCACCAAGGAGCTGACATTCTAGTAGGCATAATAAGTAAACATAGACTGTCATATATATCATTTGAGAACAGACAGTAGCAGGGCAGGAGTGAGGGAAGAGGGTGTTTGTAGAAAGGATGAGGCAAGGCTTTTTCAGTAAGTAACATTTGGGCAGAGTTTGCTAAGAACTACAGAAGGGGTATGCACAGGTACTGCGTTAGCCTCACGTTGCAGGGCCATGTGTTCCAGACTAGTGTTTGTGGGGCTGTGATTGGGACCAGCTGAGCAGCCCCGGGTCTGTTCCTGAGTTGGGGAGTGTGGATGAGGGAAGGCTATCTATAGACATTAAAGGAAAGATGGAGACATAGGAGAGAGTCAGGAGGGTAGTTTCAGTCCATACTGAAAATGCCTTGTTTATTCATACATTCTCATAAGTAACCAATCAAAGGTGGGGACAATGGCAGAAGACTTCTATTGTCACGTATAAAGGGCAACTACCAATTGCTTTCCTTAATCCTAAAGATACTCCGTAGCTGTAAGTACTACTTGGGCATCAGGCACTTCATAGCTGCACATAACATCCTAGCCTTCAGGATGAGCAGGATGAGTGTAAACTTGCCTGGGTCCAAGTCTCTTCTTATTTAGATAGGAACCATCCACCACCGAGGCCAGGACATCCTGCAGCTGTTAAGCTAATTTTTTTTTCTGCTTTGGAGCCTGTCCTGGAACTAGCTCTTGTAGACCAGGCTGGTCTTGAACTCAAAGAAATCCACTTGCCTCTGCCTCCCGAGTGCTGGGATTATGATTTTGAGCTTTCTGAACTTGTGGCAAGATGGAATGGACTTCCATATACAGGTCCTGACATCTGGGGAAACAGGGAGCTGCAAGGACAGGCCCTGAAGCAGAAACTGGCTTTGATGTTTGACACTGCAAGGCAGGTGTGACTGGGGGAAGATGGGCAAGGGAAGGAGGGCTTGGCTGATAAGATTTCGGGCATTCCTGTTTTCATGCAGAGTCATTGAGAGTCATGGGCAGGGAAGCAGCATGTGAGTTTACTTTCAGGGCATGGTTCCTACATGAGAGCAAAGAGGGCAACAGAGCTGTCAGTTGTGTGGCCTAGTGCTTCTTGGATCAGAATGGTGGTGGCCTGTTGCAGATAGCAGTGACAGAGGAAGTGAGGTCGGGTTCTGAGTGTGCGGTCAGTGGAGAATTCCTGCTGGAGGTTGGAAGAGGGGAAACAGAGGCATTGAGGATGACTCATAAAGATATTTGGACCAAGCATTGGGTTTGTAGTGGGATGGGGGAAACTTGGGAAATAAGGGTGGGAGTTTTAGATACATACACTTGAAAATATAGTTTGACGTTGGCATAGAGATGCCAGGTAGGCATTTAGGTGTGAGGGTACAATGTTGGGACCATGGATGCTGGGGTTCTTCAGATTAGCAGGTTCAGCCAATTTGCTTACATAAGCCAATTTCATATTACAAGTATATGAAGTTGCCTCCCACTTTATAAATAAGGAAACTGAGGCATGAAGAGGTTAAAGCATTTGCTTCCATATAAAGTATGGAACAGGACTCACCCAGGCAGACTCACACAGTCCATGCACTTACCATCCTTGCCACATGGGATGAGATGGCCTTAAGGAGTAAGTCCCAAGGGGACTGGCCTGGGACAGATTAGCATTTAGAGGTGACATGAGGAGGATCAACAATGAAGACTATGAGAATAGCCAGGGAAGGAGTATTCGAGCTAGGAAGAGTGGCATCCTACAATGCAACTAGGGGAGCATGAGTGGATGAGACAGGACCTTTAAGTAATCAAGACAGATGAAGGCCAAGACTTGACGTTCAAGTCTCACTGAAATTCTGAGATGCTGGCAGTGCCATTACCATCTATTGACATACGAAGAAACTGAGGTTAAGTTATAAGTCCTAAATCTACCAAATGGATGCTTTTATGAGAACTGTGATACAAAAAACAATTTGCTTCTAGTGGGAAATCTTAGAACTGGGTCTAATATAAAACAAAGTGAGTTTTGCCCGAAGGCCCATAGTGTAGTAGAAAAATTGCCTCTAAACCTAAATCTTTCTGGAATAGTCTTCAATATTTCATTTGGCTTACGATGTAGAAGATAGGGAATTCAGAGTTAGTGGAAACGCTTGTGAACAAAAGGGAAATGAATACTAATTGTCATGTAAATCAGTGCTCTTCATCAGGGTAGTCTTTGCCTGGCCACCACTGAGCTGTGCCTAGGGACTTTTGACTATCCTATTGTGGTGATGGGATCATGGTACTCTGCTGACATCTAGCAGGCAGATTGGTCAGGACAGCCCTACAGCAAAGGGTTATCTCACCTCAAATGCCAGGGGTGCTGAAGCGGACTTACCCTGTCATAGATAAGGAGTCAAATCCATTTCATGATGATCTAAGGGATTTCTTTGTGCTTTAAGAGAGCTGGGTCTTGACTAGACAAGAACATTTAGTGGCAGCTAAGCCCCTTGGGATGGTTTCTTATCTGAAGCTACCTTCTGTTCTTCATACCATCTTCTCTTGTCTGGCATAGGCGGCTCACTGAACAGGTGGTACTTGCTAAGACACTTGTGGACAGCTATCAGGTCACACAGGAAGTGCATTTGGGGACATTCTTCTGTCCTTACCCCTACTTTGTCTCATCCTTCTGGAACAGTCCTTGCCTGACACTGAGGATTGTGCTGGGTAACTGGTTTTCTGTTTTGTCATATTTCTTACATGGCATTCCTGTGGAGAGTTGAGTTTTCTTTAAGGGGTTCTGCTGAGATTACACTTTTTCAAGCAAAAACCCTAATTGGTGTTTACAAAACAGATCCACATTCTGTGTGCCACATGTTGTCTGAGGTAACTTTAGCATTGATCACACAGCTGTTCTGAGACAGAGACATGAGTTCAGGCCTCCTGGCTTCAAATACCAAATACAGTTCCAGTAGAGACAGTCTCCCCCACTCCCTGAGGTGTCTGGGGAGCTGAATGAGTGAGCATCACAATCGCTAACCCTTACTAGACATTTCCTCCTTGCTACAACGAGTCTCAGAGCCTTGTATTGTTCATTTCTTAAATCCTTACCTCAGCTGCAGGAAGGGTTGGTCTCCATCCAGTTTACTGGCGTGGAAATGGAATAGCAGATGTGAGTTAGCCAAGACACAGTGCTAATGAGGGATCAGACTGACTTAGCCCCTGGCCACTTTACTGGCCACTTACCCCGCAGTGGAGAGTGAGTGCCTTACACAGCTTCTGGGTCAGGCCTTGATTGCTTTGGAATTGGGTTACCTTAACTGAGATTTCTAGTCTGCAATGCAGACTTGACTCTACAGTCATGTTCTTTCACATTCCATGCATGGCTTTCTGAGCTGGGTTGGGGGCAGACTGTTGCTGCTCAGCCACTCTACTGGAAGGGACATTTGTTCTCACCAAATCGATTGCAAGGAATAAGGTGCCTCTCTGCTTTCCTGTGTGCTGTTTGGAAATTTTGAAATGGGCTGTATGGGTATGAGTGGCATTCAGTACTTTCTGGGATTGCAGATGCCACCACTATGCCTTGTCTCTTGAGAACTTTCTTCTTGACTTATAGACACCCATTTTCTTTTTTGAAAAATAATATTTTTATTTTATGTGTCTAGGTGTTTTGCCTACTTATGTCTGTGTACCACATGCTCACCTGGTGCTCATGGAGTCCAGAAGAGGGCATGAGATGTTCCTGGAACAGGAGTTACAGACAGTTGTGAGCTGCTGTGTGGGTGCTGGGAACCGAAATCAGGTCCTCTAGAAGAGCAGACAGTGCTCTTTTAAATGACGGAGCACCTCCAGCCCCCAGACACCCTTCTCCTTGCATGTCCGAGTCTCAGTGTGTACATGTGCAAAGAGTGGGCTGACTTGGAGCTCTGAGAGAGTCATGGCACTGTCTAAGGACTCTACCCTTGTGATAACATCTAACTTGATTGACTTCCTAGAGGCTTCAACTCCACGTGTCGTACCCTGAATTAAGGCTTGAAGATTCGGACAGTCAATCTCTATTCATGACTTATTGCTTGATTAACTTGATAACGTGGTTTCAGAGTGTAAGCTTAGGGTAAGAAGGCAACTAGTAAGAGGTAACATGAAGGGAGTCTCTCTCTCTCTCTGCCTCTGTCTCTCTCTGTCTCTGTCTCTCTCTGTCTCTGTCTCTGTCTCTGTCTCTCTCTCTCTCTCTCTGTGTGTGTGTGTGTGTGTGTGTGTGTGTGTGTGTATAAATGGAATGATTAAGTTCCCTGATGTCTATTTTAAATCACATACATAGTGAGTTGCCTGGAGCTGTGCACATACATGAAGAATGTATGTAAAAACTGATGAAATCCAAAAACTAATTTCCTGTTGACAGGGTGCTGTGGTTATTTATGATGTTGCTTGCAGCTAGCAGTTGGTAGCAGCTAGGTGAAGAGCTTCCAGATATCCTGGTTTTCTGGGTTTTTACTTCTTAAGAATTGAACTATTTAAAAAGAAAAAAAGTTGTGAAGTTATTTTTAAAGGCCCCCCGAAAGCAGAAGAAATAAACTGTGAATGGTGACAGTATGGATAATTTCAGAAACATGTTAGATACGAGAGGATTCCGTTTAAGTGGACTATAAGAGACAGCACTAACCCTGAGGTCAGGAGTTGAGAGCTGAGTACAGTGAGCTGAGAGGGAGATGAGAGACTCAGGGTGATGGAAATGGTTCTCATCCGTTTTGGGATCATAAGTGGTCAAACTGACCAAAGTGGGCACTTTACAGTGGGGCGTTTTACTTTATGAAACTGTATGGCGTGTGTGTGCATGCACGTGTGCGCGTTCATGTGCGTGCGTGTGTGCGTGTGTGTTGCGTGCCTGTGTGTGCGCGCGCGCGCGTGTGTGTGCGTGTGTGTATGTGTGTGTGCGTGTGTGTGTGCGTGTGTGTGTGTGTGCGTGCGTGCACGCATTTCTATGTATGGGAAACAGATGATTTTAAAAGCAAAGGTAAGTACTAGGCACCTGTTACTTCCTGAGTATCTTAGCATTGTCTGTAGCTGTGACAGTCCTTGCACCTGTGTCCTAACGATGGGGACACCATATACCCTGTGCTGCTGCCACACCCAGGAGGAAATCAATGGCGGGGGAGGATGAGGCTCAGACAGAGGTCTGGGCCCTTCTGGGTGCAGATGGAAGTGGAAGTGGGGAGCATGGGACGGCATTCAGGGAGACTGGTGGTCCTTGGAAGTGTTTTTCTGGAACAGGAAGAGAAACCCAGCTGTGAAACAAGACATTATTGAAGGAACTGGGGGTGAGAAATCACAGAAACCAAGAAAAGAGAAGGTTCCAGGGGATTTCCTCAGATGAGACGCTGCTAGAGAGTGGCTAAGAGGATGAAGTAAACATGGCTGTGGATTTAACAACTAGAAGATAGCTGGTAGCTAATTAAAAAAACTGTGGGGAGACTGTATGTTGTTAGTCCTCTAGTCTATACTTTGTGTCTTAGGATATGGCTCAGGAATTCATTCCACAGACCTAGAGAGGCATGTGGGAGTAATCCTACCAGCCGTTCATACTTTCTGCATTTAAGTGGTCCTCAAGACCCATGGCCACTATCCCTAAATGATAATATTTCTCCTTTCCCATGATTCCTCTCTGTTTTCCATGCCCTTGGCCATTCACACTCTCCACTGGACTGCAGCAGCCTGCTATCCCCTCATCTACTCGGCCCTCTTCTCGGTGATTTTCCAGCAGATAGATCTGACTGTGTCAGTCCCATGTTGAAAAGAGTTATGCAGGGAGTTCTTATCTCCCATAGCTGATGTTTGTAACCTAATTCTAGTAAGAGGATGAAAATGATTTAGGAATATGGGAATATAAGCATGCATGTGGATCTTGGCAAAAATATAGCTGTAAGTAGGCACCCAGATAAATTTAGCACCACAAAGGGTTTACTATGTCGAGTCCAAACTCAGGGTTATTTATGAGCAAGTCTGGGGTCAGCTGGTCTCTGACTGCCAAACCAATGCCATCTCTAACCCCTTAGGACCATACATATATGATGAGCAACTTCCAGAACATGCCAAACACTGCCATTTTAAAGTCTTTATGTGGGTATTCTCCTTGCTAGCATGCCAGGCCACCCTTTCTTCTCTCTGCCTTCAGGGGTCACTTACAAGTTCTTTCTCATGAGCACGCTGAATAGCCCCTCTTCTCTCCTGCTCCTCTGGCACTCATGTACCCTGTTAGAAGCACAGTTATCTGTCTCTCCATATGGACTTAGGGGCATGGCTGTGTCTTCTCATTCATGCCTGGGACCTACGTACAGTCTGTCATGTAGAATAATGTAAACAAAAGGACTGATTTGTTAAAAATGACTAAGTGACTTTTTTGCTCTTAGATGCCCTCAGTCAGACTACAGAATGGCTGAAAGAGTCTATAGATGAAGAACTCCTTTCTGAGACTGTTGTATCTCCTGGAACTGAACAGAGTCCCACGGCAAGCCTAAGCCCTCTGTTGGTGCTAAATAATTGTTACTTGAAATTACTTCAGTGGGATTATCAGACAAAAGTCTTACCAGAGGTGAGTGGCTTTCCCTCCACCAGGGTGTCCAGCATGTGAATTCTTAAGTCTTATCTCTGACTCAGTGTGGCAACTAAAATCAGATAAAAATGAGAGTGTGGATATGACATTGCTTATTCTATATTCTCATGGCATTGTGCTTCCTTTTCTATTTTTACATTTTAAATAAATATGCTAGACACTCGTGACAGATGGAACACGGCTTCAAGAAGTGACAGAAAAGCTGACTCAATTGAAAATGATAGCCTGCTTGTCCCTAATTACCAACAACATGGTGGGTGCTGTCACAGAAGGCCTCCCTGAGCTTGCAAACAGGTTAAAAAGGATTTCAGCTGTTCTACTCGAAGGCATGAATAAAGAGTAAGTTCTTTATGTGCGGATTTGCTCCCTCACATGTGAAGGTTCTGCATGTGTTTCCCAAAACAGGCAACAACCTTGGCCTTGAGGACGCAGCAGTCACTACTGGCTTTCAGGTTTCTCACGCCTTCTTTGCATAGTGTCCTTTAGCATCTCAGAAGTTCCAGATGTCCTTTCATGGGGAGGCAGAGGTGTTCTCCTTTCAGTGGTGTGTGTGGAAAAAGCATGACCAGAAATGCACAAAGCCATGTGCAGACCTGTGTTGTCAGAGGCTTTTCCAGATCTGTGGGTCTACTCTGTCCTTTTTCTTTTATAAGGTAATTATTGACTTTAATGGAACCAAACTATGAAGGTTTTAAAATAGAGACACTTCTGTCAAATGTAAACCTAATGAAAGCTTTGCTTTCAGGTCTATCCCACTGAGACACTGTCACAGTCAGAAGACAGGTCTTGTCACTGTCTGTTCCTGTGGCTCTCACATGACTCAGCACCCATGCTGCTTTTAGCCTATGTCCTCTATCCTTACCATTGAAGGGACATGCACTTGTCCTCCCATCTGTTAGAAAGAACATGCACCATGTGATAAAACCTGGAGTAGGAATCTTAACTGCCTTGGGATCCATACTTCTTATTTTGGGCTGAAACTCAAAGGATAAGTTTGTCTTGGGCTGTGTGGGTGGAACCATGCAGACTAAGCCTTGGCTTGTCTCACTGTACAAGGTCCTACCCTTTAAATGACTCTGATACTGATCTGCCACACGTGTTTCAGGACCCAAGACCAACATAGAAACAACACCTTCCTCTGTCTTTGGAGTTGGTCTGTCTCTATGTCTCTTCGCATTGGGAACTGTTGCTTTCCAGAAATGTTCTTTTCACTAGGTGTTTTCTTAGCATCCAGTGCTGCCAAGTGCTAGTATGAAGCAGATAGAAACAGCATGTAGAAACTAAGGCTTTCAGATCAGGTGACCAGGTGAGACTCAGCTCTGTGATGGCCGTATTATGTGTGACTGAGAAGTTCCTGAGCATTATTTTCTCATGTGGGAAGAATAACCAGGGCTGAGAAGAGGGCTCAGTGACTGAAGTGCTTGGTTTACACGCGTGAGGGCTTGAGCTTGGGTCCCGCAGCACCGTGTAAAAGTCAAGTGTGAGGGACTGTCTGTCACCCTGGGGCTGTACAGCTGAACAGAGAGAAACGGAACTGGGTGCTATCCAAACTAGCTAGCTCCAGCTTCAGTGAGAGAGCCCAGCTCAAGGAGGAAGGGGGAGAGTGGCAGAGGAAGACACCTGAAGTTGATCTCTGGCCTTGACGTGAGCATAAGTGAGCATACTCCTCCACCCCACATACACAGAAAAAGAGTACTCATCTTCCCTACTTTGGGGCTGTGAGAATAAACGAGGAGTCCTGTGAGACTCTGCATAGGTGTCTGGCACACAGGGTATACTCAGGTATGGTAGTTATTAATAACTGTTGGGTGTTACTTCCCTGTTTACTGGCTGTTTCATATAATGCAGAAACATTCCTGCCCAAGTACTCACCCTATAGAAGGAGTAACAGCATTTGTAATATAAAACAAGTACATGACCTCAAGTCACCATAGGCCCAGAAGTGATTTGCATATAATTTGGTGATCTGTCACAGAGACAGGCAAGGTTTTGCTTTTTATTGTGAATAGAAAGCCTTGGCCAATATAAAAATTTAATTTTTTTCCTGTAGCTTAAGAACTTACTGACTAAAAACAGGAGAAAGCTAGAGCTCTACTATATAGTGGTTTAAAATATCAGGAAGAAAAGATTGACCAAACGATCTATCCTTGGGTGACAGAGCCCCAGAGGTAGGCCAGTGTGAGGGGCAGACGTCTAGTTAAGGTGGGGCAGCAGTGATGCTGTGCCGCTCCATGCTTCTCTCTCCTAGCACTGACTGTTCACTTGTCATCTGCTAAGAGCTCACTCAAGCACATAGCAAGTCCTAGAGCCTGGATCCGAACCAAGGTCTTCACAGCATCAGACTTAAGTCCTAATTTTTCCATTATATTACCTCTTATCACTAGGCTTTCTATAGTTCTTTAGTTCATATTTTTCACAGTGATACATAAGAACCCTTTCTATATAGTGATATACTTTTCAATTATTCCTTAATAGTACAGACTAAAACACCCTCACTGATTCCCTCTTTTGTTATTGACTAAATGACCTTATGTCTAGACTGTGTGTTTGCTTATTTGTTAGTTATTGGACAGTAGTAATGGGAATTAACTGCCTTTGGTTATGATCAGTTTACAATTTCAGGTAACGTGGCCTCTCAATGTTTCTGTTTTTGACTTGTGCTATAGATTTACTCCTATAGGCAGAGAAAAATTAATTTTTCTACTCAACTTTATAAGCTCATTAAATCTATAAGATGGTTAAAAGCATGTGGCTGCTTGTTCAGATGACTTGGGTTCAGTTCCCAGTACATACATGGCATCTCACAACCATCTATAAGTCTAGTTCCAGAGGATCTGATGACCTCTCCTGGCCTCCATAGGCACTAGGCATGCATATGGTACACATACGTCCTTGCCCGTGAAACACTCATATATGTAAGATAAATCTTTCAAAACGTGTATAAAAGAATCCACTCACACCAGTGGGTTTAAGAAGCAAATGGATATCTTCTGTCCCTTTGCTATCCATGTGAAGATGGGGTTTTACATGCATACCTTTGCTTTTCTGAGACACTGGCTACACAGCTGCATGGTCCCAGCACTTAGAAGTTGTTATGTGAGAGCATTAGTAGCTGGGAGAGGCACCATTTTCTGATCATTCCAATAAAAGCAATCATTGTTGCTGTAAGAAAAAATTGGCAAGCATGTGCAGTAAGTATATTTTAAAACAAACAAAAAATGCCTGAAGACCTAGACTTGGCCTGATGCAGTTTGCTCTGTTTTCTAGGACCTTTAACTTGAAGGAAGCCCTGAATTCTATTGGTGTTCAGACTTGTGCTGAAGTTAATAAGGCCCTGAAAGAGAGAGGCTCGCCCACTTTAAATGCTGAGGTTCAAGCTAATCTCATCGGTCAGTTTTCAACCCTTGGAGAGAAGGACAATCCTGTCTGTACCTTGATGGGTGAGTCCACATTATGTTTAAGCCAGTTTCTGCTTGAGTTTCAGTTTGCTTTAACTTGCTGTATCTGACATTGTTTAAGTATCAGCCAGTTAAACACAGAACTAAAGGCAATTCAGATTTTGGATTTTCAGATTAGGGATAAGTAATCCATGAAATCCATTCCAGAACTCTATAGCCAACCAAACAAAAAGCCCAAACATTGCAAAAACTCCTGTGCTACATCTTGAACTGCTGTTGCTGTGAGGAAACCCTGACCAACAGCAGCTTGGGGAGGGGAGGGTCTATTGCCCTCACAGGTCCCCGTAACAGTTCACCATCCAAAGCCATGAGGGCGGGAGCCTAGAGGCAGGGCCTGATGGAGAGGCCATGGAGGAGTACTCTGACAGGCTTACGTCTATGGCCAGCAGCACAGGGGTGGCCCCTCCCACAGTGGTTTAGTCCCTCTCATTGTCCACTAGTTGAGACTGCAGCCTGACCTTACAGAGGCATTTTCTCAGTGGGGTCCTCCTCTCTGATGACTTTAGCTGTGCTAAGTTGACATAAACGAGTCAACACAGATACTTGGCTCTTACTTTTGGAGGACAAATATGAAAAGTATAAAGAAAAGTGGATGTTTTCAAAGGCCTCGCTCTTCTTCAGAGCCATCATAACTGTCCAGCCAGTGGACTTTATGAAGGCAGTATGGCAATGGGGAAATCCTGGGTGAATGTGCAATTCAAACCCGCTTTCTGCACACTCATCATGAGGCATGGTTTTACCATAAGAGAATTGAGGTCCCCTCCTCAGAGTTAGACAGAGAGGGAAAGGCTGGGACCAGGAGGCATCATGGGTAGCTCTCCTTGTGCCTGCTGGTCAAGAAAACAGCCTCCTCAGTGTCAGGCGGGGGGTTGGGGGTGGGGGGGGTGGGGGGTGGGGGGTGGGGGAGGCTGTCGGCAGTACGGCGCATGCCCAGGCCTCTTGCAGTTACCTGTGACTGGTTAAAAAAGGGGCAGTTGATTTCTCCTACAGCTGTGAGAGGGCCAGGGATGGCGCTGGCTGCTGACAGTGTCATGGGAGGTTTGGTTTCACTCTCTGTCTCAGCACTGTGTCCCTCTGGCTACACGCCTGCATGCTAAGGTGCCTGGCTCTGCCTCATCTCCATGTCTAAGTCAAGCAGTCAGGAGTCTTATAGCTCTGTTCGCTAACAGTGACCCCCTATGGAGTCCATGTAAGCGGCCTGACTGTAGGTCAGGTTCTGTCCTTGAGTTGATCTTGGCGGTGAGAGGCAGAAGAACTTAATCTTGAAATGTGTACTCACTTCCAGGACAGTCTGCTGTTCCCAAGCATCAGTGAGAGTGGGAAGACACCGCTCCCTTACACAAAGCAGGGTGTTGTTACCATTGAAGAGTCAAAGGCAGTGTTTGTAAAATGTGCTCAGTTACTGCAGCAGCTGAAAAATAAAGCCTAGAAAGAGGAAGAGGGTAAGCTTTCCAAGTATAGTGTCAGTTTCTGACAGTATGGTTTATTTTATTGAATTCAGGGGCTCTGCAAGAGTTTCTTCTTATTATTCCTGGGAGCATAGGCTACCAGAAGGTCAGGCTGCACAGGCTACTTAGGTGCCCCAAGGCTTCACCTTGACCCCAGAAAGGACCAGTGCTAGGGTACAGCACTGTAGGTGGTAGTAGAGGCTGCTCCCAAGAGGGGACGGGTGATAATGGTAATTGACACAGCCGCTCATCACACCCTTACCTGTGTACCTCACATGCTGACCTGCCCGTCCTTAGTCTCCAGAGGAGCAGTTGTAATCTGAGATATTTTGCTCCGGGGGAAGAAACAAGCACATGCTACTGGTTTCTACTAGTATGCAGACCTCATGAGTACAGGGGATGTGTTTATTATCTGTTGTTTTTCTATGTGGTACTGAGTCTACAGATGGCATTTTAATGCATACTTAGAGTACCTGTTGCTAAATAACTCACAGGGTAGTGCCCATAGCTAAATAACTAACAGGGTAGTGCCCATAGCTAAATAACTCACAGGGTAGTGCCCATAGCTAAATAACTAAAGGATAGTGCCCATAGCTAAATAACTCACAGGATAGTGCCCATAGCTAAATAACTCACAGGATAGTGCCCATAGCTAAATAACTAACAGGGTAGTGCCCATAGCTAAATAACTCACAGGATAGTGCCCATAGCTAAATAACTAAAGGATAGTGCCCATAGCTAAATAACTAAAGGATAGTGCCCATAGCTAAATAACTCACAGGGTAGTGCCCATAGCTAAATAACTCACAGGGTAGTGCCCATAGCTAAATAACTAAAGGATAGTGCCCATAGCTAAATAACTCACAGGATAGTGCCCATAGCTAAATAACTCACAGGATAGTGCCCATAGCTAAATAACTAACAGGGTAGTGCCCATAGCTAAATAACTAAAGGATAGTGCCCATAGCTAAATAACTAAAGGATAGTGCCCATAGCTAAATAAGTCACAGGGTAGAGCCCATAGCTAAATAACTAAAGGATAGTGCCTATAGCTAAATAACTCACAGGATAGTGCCCATAGCTAAATAAGTCACAGGATAGTGCCCATAGCTAAATAACTAACAGGGTAGTGCCCATAGCTAAATAAGTCACAGGATAGTGCCCATAGCTAAATAAGTCACAGGGTAGAGCCCGTGGGTAAATAAGTCACAGGGTAGAGCCTGTGGGTAAATAAGTCACAGGGTAGAGCCCGTGGGTAAATAGCCCACAGGGTAGAGCTGAGATTCTAACCTTGACTATCTGGCTCCAGGGCTCGTATTCCCTACTGTGCTTCAGGCAGAACTGGAACCACGAGCTCACAGTGCCTCTGTGCCCTGGATGTCAAATGGGAAGGGGGAGAGGTAGGAGATTTCTCTTAAAATGTGGTAAAGCAGCTTTTTCAGCTCTCCCTGGGGCAGCCTTGCCTGCTGTTCTGCACATTGGAAGCATTTTTAAATTTTATTCAAAGTATTGTTTGTTGGGGAAGTCTTATGCTAATAAAGCACTGTCTGGCCAATAGGAATCTAGATAGGTGGGGCTAGGAATCCAGGAGGATTCTGGGAAGGAGAAACACAGGAGAGTTCGAGATGTAACGCCATTGGGGTAGGAAGCCCGGAAACCTCTCCGGTAAGAGACATACTTAGATTAACAATTATGGGGTAATTACTTAAGTCAGAGCTAGCCAGTAAGAAATAAGCAAGGCCAACAGCTTCATAATTAATACAGCGTCCTGTGTGTTTATTTGGGGACTACAAAGTGGCAGAGCCCAGGCGACTGGCGGAAGATAAACCAAAGCGGCTAGCAAAGAAAAAGCTTCACTTAACAATTGTTTCCTTAGCTACTTGAGTGACTATCTTGAGTGCCTCTCTTTTGACTCTGGAAGACAAGAACAGGTCATTGTCAGGCACTCCATTTGGCTGCTTCAGACTGAACAAATGCTTCTGTAGTCTTGGCCTAAAAACTTGACTGGTTCAAAGAGGAGACAGAACCACTTGTTGATATAATAACCATTATAAAAGAATTTCATTTTTAGGCTTTCTTGTGACAAAGTGTTTGGATTATATCTGTGATAAAGTTAGGTCCAGGTCTGCAAAAGTCAGCCAGTCCTAAGGGGAAGCTCACTGGGTTTTTGCAAGCTGAGAAGCTAGCATAAATTAAGCACTTAGATCTTGGCATATAGATAGGAAAGGCTCTGCCAGTGCTGGCCACGGGCTCTGTCTGCACATGGCGCCCATGTTCTGCCACCCTGTGTTCTCAGTCGATGTGAGTCTGTTTGCCAAAAGGCATTACACCCCTCACAATGCCATAACCCTTTGAAAAGATAATTAGAAAGGGAGTTTTCTTTCAAACCAAAACTTTCCCAAAATATAAAAACCAGGTAAAAATTCTGTGGATTACATTTACAATTTTGAGAGTTGATGTTTTTCAGTTACCTAAGCGACACATGAATTCTCTCTCCTAGTTGAAACATATGGGTGAGAATTATTTTGTCTGTGCTTGCCTTTTCCAGGCCCCCTTTCCAGGCTTCCATTGTTTTCAGTCTGGTATTTATAAACTTTTTTTCATCCCGTTTCCATTTTAATTTAGCCAGGATTTATTGTGCCGTATGTCAGGCCAGGAATATAAAGAGACATAGCCTCCACTCCCCCATACCCACAAAGAGCTCACTCTCTTAAGACAGGAGAAAGACCTGTACACTGGTGTAAACTGGTATGTAAGTCTGTAACATGGTCAGAGGGGCCATAGAGAGAAGTTATTGTAGACTCAGCATTGAAGGAGATCTGGAAAGAGATGGACAGATTATTAATAAGATGAAAAATTTTAAGACATGGATATTGGAAATTTTCAAGTTCTGGAGTCAGTTGTGGGAAACAGTGTTTGAAGATAAGAATTTGGTTAATGCTAAAAGCCAGGCAGACTGACACATATCTGTAAATCCCACCAGTTGGGATGTGGAGATGATCCATAGTGCAGGCATAGAGTATGTTTGAGGCCACCCCAGGCTTCATGACCTTGTCACCAAAGGTGAAAAAAAAAAGAGTTTCATTTAATGCCGTAATTGCCTGTGCTCAGTGGACTGAGTTAATTCATATTTATGAGGGTTTTGTTTCCAAAGCTAGAGTCAGCCCTTGGAACTGTACATGTGTGGTCAATCTGATTGTCACTACTAATCATCTGATGTTACTATAGCCAAATCTATGCATGCATTTATTTGCATGTGTCCAGTAGTCACACAGTGAGGTGCAGTGCGTTCATCTGCGTGTGTCCAATAGTCACACAGTGAGGTGCAGTGCGTTCATCTGCGTGTGTCCAATAGTCACACAGTGAGGTGCAGTGCGTTCATCTGCGTGTGTCCAGTAGTCACACAGTGAGGTGCAGTGCGTTCATTTGCGTGTGTTCAGTAGTCACACAGTGAGGTGCAGTGCGTTCATCTGTGTGTGTCCAGTAGTCACACAGTGAGGTGCAGTGCGTTCATCTGCGTGTGTCCAGTAGTCACACAGTGAGGTGCAGTGCGTTCATCTGTGTGTGTCCAGTAGTCACACAGTGAGGTGCAGTGCGTTCATCTGTGTTCATCTCAGCGGCTCCTGTGCAGAGTGCCTGGATAATTAATTACCAAGCCAGAGTGCTTGGCACACACTGTTTTTAACCATACCAGAGCAATAGACATGAACATTGCTGTCTCTGGGAAACCTAGATGTGGAGCCACTTATCCTTTGTATTATGTTAAAAACCCAAGTGTGCTGGGTTTCTAGATTTTTTTCTCATAGAACCAGAATTTGGAGTTCAGTATGAAATCCCTGATTTTAAAATACTTCTATAAAACAAAAAACCCCTAAGAAATATGTTTGCCTGAGAGTGTTAGCTTAAGTAGTGATTGTAGATGTTGGTTATTGACTTTTGCAAAAAAAATTCTACCTCACAAAAGCACTGTTTTTTCTAATCAACCATCTCTCATTACATATAAAAGTCACTCCAAAACTCTATCGCCTGAGTTTTATTTACTCATTTATTTCTCATAAGTCAGCTAAGTCAGCTAAGTAGTTCTTTGGCCATGTCCAACTCACTTATGTTTCTGTGGCTTAGGTTGGTAGCCCTGATCCTGACTGGACTCTTCTCAGGGGTTTGAGGTGGCTCCTCTAAATGCACTCCCGTAGATCTGGAGGGTTGGGTTTCTCCTGCTGCAGTCCTGCCACAGCAGTACAGCCTGACTCACATGGGTGATGGCAGGCAGTGGAGTCAGTCATGCCTTGAGGCTTAGGCATGCAGCTGGCCTCTTGGTACTTCTATAACATTGTGCATTAGCAAAACACAGGTGACAAAGCCAGTTCAAACTTACGGAAAGAAAAAACACTCTGCATCCTTAATGGGAAGAATCGTAATGCCACTTGAGTACAGGCAGGGGTAAATGGGAGCCTTACTGCTTATTATTCCATTATAGACTTTAATAATGGAACAGGTAACGATACCATTGTTTTTCCTTTAGATAAACGGATCCGGTTGTACATGAAAAGCCTGCTTTGTCTTCCAAACACCCAGAAAAGCATGCCTCCCATGCCAGGGGGCCTTAGTGTCATTCATCAGGAGCTGGAGTTGCTTGGCTGTCAATACGCAAACATTGTGAATCTCAACAAACAGGTGTATGGACCATTTTATGCAAATATATTCCGAAAGCTGCTCTTCCGGGATGAAACTGTGGGGAAGATAGATGCTTCACTTCCAACTAACTAAAGAGATGGAGATTGGCATTTGGTACACTGTCCATTTCTACCAATAGCATTTTAGATGGCGCACATTCTCAGTGTTGTCTGTAGAGCAGTGTTAGGCTGAATCTGTGTACTCTGGTAATGCTAGCATCACAGAGGGGCCACACATCCCACAGTCTCTTTTGTGTATCATTTCCAAGTTCAAGGCAGACGCTTTAATGAAGATAAGTAATTTGTAATGAGTTCTATCACCAGAATTATACTTAACACTGGTGTTTTCTTAAATATTTTTATTGAGTACTTCTATCTAGCTTGTTCATTCAGCCTGAAAGGAGTTGTTTTTGTTTAGATACTTGACTATGCTACAGTTGCCTGCAGGATACAATGTGCAAACACTTAAGAATGCATTGAAAATGAAGGGCATTCTGCTTCATATTTTGTTAAGTGACAAAGTAAATTTGTATCTCGAGTCTGGACTTAGCCAAGTACATTTATTAGGATTTTTAACCTTGGCTCTTGGCATGTTTATTTAGTTTCTAGTTAAATGCTCACTTCCACTTTTGAGACTTTCTTAACATGGTTGTTTTGTAATAAAAACTTTATTAAACAACAGACATGGTAATCTTTTCATTTTTTTACTGCTAAAACATGTTCATACTGATTGTTCTAAAAATGCTAAAAATTATTCCAGGACAATTAGTGCTTCTGTTTTCTATTGTCCCCTGAGCAATATTGAACATTTTTTTTCTTTTTCTTGTTTTGCTTTTTTTTTTTTTTTTTAGACGGGGTCTCACTATATTGCCCTGACTGGGCTGGAATTGTCTGTGTATACCAGACTGGCTTTGGACTCACAGAGATCTACTTGTCTCTGCTTCCTTAGTGCTGGGATTAAAGATGTCCTGGACCCTTTTATTAGTTATTCTAGGTTGTGATTTTCCTCTTGACTTTACAGACATGACATCATTTGTGTTCTTTTGGTTAACAAGCACTTATAGAGCATCTACTTGGTATCAAGAAGATAGTTCTCACTTCAGCAGTGGAAATACTACATTGAACCATAAAGGTTAGTATAGCCCCTCACAAGGAGGATGTGAACATTCCTGAGATGACCCGTAGTTTTCCCCTCTCATGCAGAGTCTGTGTCACTGAAGAAATGAGAGAATGGCTATTTAAGTAAGAAGGGAGAGTAGGAGGTGGGTGTGGAGGACAATAGAGGGATGGGAGCCAGTGTGACCAAGTGTATTATAGACGTGGATGGAAATGTTATAATAAGTGTATTATAGACGTGGATGGAAATGTTATAATGAGCCAGGTGTGCTGGTATAGTCTGCATAATACCAGCATTCTGCAGGCTGAGGCAAAAGGTTCCCAAATTTAAGGGTAGCCTAAGCTACAGAAATTCTATCTTTAAAAAAACCTATTACTTAGTATTATTAATGTATGTTAACAAACTAATTTTGGATTTTGTTCTTTTGTTTCTCTTTGTAGCCCTGACTGTCCTGGAACTCCCTCTGTAGACTAGAAATCAACCTGCTTCTGCCTCCTGAGTGCCACCACTGCCTAGCTCAGTAATGCATTTTAAACACTCAAATAAAATTTAAATTATGAAAAATGAATAAGAGCTATAAAATAGGTGCGATTCGTGCTAGTAAATATTACCGAACTCTCTCATGGGGAGGATAGTTCTTGATCTGAAGCATCAAGGACACAGGAACCAGGCAAGAAGCAACAGGGATGGAGTGGACACAGCAGACCCGCTGAGCAGTGAGTGCAGTAGTTAGGGGAAGCAGTGACTCCAGAGAGCAGTAGATAAGAAGGAAGCAATGAAAGGAAAATAAAGGTAAAAGGTTTCTTGGGTGCCATAGTTTCCTGTCCCACCTGATCCCGCAGCCGTTTAGTCCCAAGTAAACACACAGAGGCTTGTATTAATTATGAAGGGTTTGGCCAATGGCTCAGGCTTCTATTTGGCTAGCTCTCTCTTAATTATTAACCCGTTTATATTAATCTGCATATTGACATAAGGCTGTGGCTTACCCGTAAAGCTCCGACATGTTATTTCTTCAGCAGCTACATGGCGTCTCGCTGGTTCACTCTTTCTTCCTCTTCCCAGCATTCCTAGTCACCATTGGTTAATTAAGAAGCTGATTTGGCCAGTGGCTAGACAGAATATAGCTAGGCAGGAAATCCAGACAGATACAGAGAGAAAGAAGGCAGAGTCAGGGAGGTGCCATGTATCCACAGGAGAAGTAATTGCCAGAACATTACCATTAATCTACAGCCTCGTAGTGATACACAGATTAGTAGAAATGGGTTAATTTAATTGTGAGAACTAGTTAGTAATATGTCTGAGTAATTGGCCACACAATTGTGACTAATACTGAGCCCCAGTGTGGTTATTGGGGGACATGGCAGGCAGCAGAGAAACTGTTACAATCTGGGGACAAGTGGTAAAGGAGCAGGGTAGACACTGAGAACCAGCTTAACCTGAGGAGCCATCTTGGAAAATAGATGGGAACGAGGCAGTGTGAGCTGAAAGGCATCCAGTCACATTGATGAAACTCTGCAATGAAGTAAAGCCTTAAGTCCCTGATTCCAACGTTCACTTGAGTGAGTCTAGAGCAAGTACCCAACCGTACGTGGTGGGGGTGAAACAAGGGAGTAGTTGACTCGTATTCCTGGGTCCCACTAAAGTCATGCCCTGGTTCTAACATTCTCTACTTGCTGCTCAGAAAAAGTAGAATTGGACTGAGTTACAAAATCCGAATTTGAACCTGCCCCAGCACTCCATAGCTGTAAGTTCAAGCCATCTTCTATCTTCATGAGCCAGTTTCTTCCCCTGTCTTCCCATCAGACTACTCATCTGCCTCACAGGGTGAGGCTGAGCTGTCTGCCAGCTACAGGATAATGTAACCAGCATACATTACTGCAACTGTAATTGATGAGTCCTAAATCTCTTTCAAGCTCCAAGGGGTTTTAGTGTTTTGAGAAATGATGGCTAAGTGCTTAACTACATAGGAAAAAAATTTGTCATTTCTCATCAGAACCATGGCTCATTAGGCCCAAAATTGTCATTGGCACAAAAACTCAAGGGTATAGAGAAGGCTGCAGAGGTTGTTCTTGATGTCAACTTTAAAGGTTGGTGACAAAACACACATGCTCTTGATTCATTTAACAATTATTGGGTTTATCCTGTGAGTTTTAACGTTTCAAGAAAAATTTTAATGATAAGCTTTGTGCTGTCTCCTTTGCTCTGTCTGCAATGAAGCCTTGTTTTCATTTATAAGCTTACATTGTGAGCCTCTTTAATACTTACGGGACAGAAACAGAGGAGCTTACTGCATGGCTTTAAGAAGAAAGAGTACTTGGGAATGTCTCAGCAGCCACTCTTGCAGGTGTGCTGGGACAGCGGGATATAGTTTTTGGTCTTTCGGACTATGATAAAATAGTAACCATTTGTCATCTGGCAGGGTCTATCCTGAGCACTTTATATGGTTATGTAACTGCGCAGCACATTGGGGGACGGACACTTTATCATTTTCATGTGCAACAGCTGATGAACTTGCCCAAGGTCACAAAAATGCTTGAGTAAATCTGAACTCGATCCACTGTTGTGCTGCTACCAAATGCTGACTGGGCATATACCTCTCCACTTCTATTGCTGTCTTCCCATTTGACTGGTCCTGAGTGAGTCCAACTGAATTTGTTCCCCCTAATCTGGACATACTTCCTGCACTGAGTAAGTTAGTTTCAACTTCTCCATCAGGTCCATCTAGATGCCTGTTTTTGTGGGGAACCTGGCCTTCTGGGTAGGGCAGAATGATATCCTATGACACAAACAAGGGCCTTTCAGAGGCGGGACTGTGGGCATGGAGGTAAGAGAAGACTTGGGAATTTCTCAGACTGTACTCAGTATTCAGTACTGTCTGCCCATGCTCTTCCCCACTCTGGCGAGATGACACAAGAAATAGCATATCCCTCTGTATTGTCAGACAGTCCATTCTCCAGCACTACTCCCAGCCTCCTCTGCTTCTTTGAGAATGTATCCATGTAATACACAGCACTGGAGAGATTTCCTTGCAGCTGGTAGGATATACTCTCGTGTATTCTGCTAAAGTCTCAGAAAACAGATCTAAGTTCTTTAACATGACACAGAGACTGGGAAATGGCCAAGCTCTGGGGCTCTTTCTAGTGTCACCAAGCAGAGGTGTCCTTGGCAGGCCCTGCATGAGCACCACGTTCAATTGCCAGAACACAGAAAAATAGACTTACTGTGCCCTAGCTATTGGCTGTGTTAGAATGTCTTCTGCTTCCCATGCCTTTGCTGTGGTGCTACGATTGATTAGAAGCACTAGGTGTCAAAGAAACATGAGTTTGAGACCTAACAAAAAGCATGGGTCCTGGAGTAAGGTAATTATGAATTTAAATTCCAACTCCATTCGGGCAAATTTCCTTTTTTTTTTTTTTTTTTTTAACGAGACAGGGTTTCTCTGTATTGTTTTGGAGGCTGTTGGTCCAGCCCGGCCTCGAACTCACAGAGATCCGCCTGCCTCTGCCTCCCGAGTGCTGAGATTAAAGGCGTGTGCCCCCACCGCCTAGCTTGGGCAAATTTCTTAATCCCTGTCTTAGCTTGTCAAGTGGAGTTTGAATACTTACCACCAAGGGTGACTCATTAGAGAACCTACTTAAAGAGGGTAATCAAGAGAATGGACACTCTTTCTGGTACCCCAGGATCCTAAACACCTCCCATTTCTAATGCCCCATGGCATTGGCCACCTGCTCATCTGGCTATCACATGCCTCATTCCCGTTATATGATGGGCATTATTGCACGATGTAAAGCATTTACCCCCTAGAGTTTCCCAGACCTCTATGCCGATCGTCAGGCTCTTACACTAATAACCCAATAAAAGGGTGCTGCAGCATAAAACTGAGGAAGCACAGATCTCTCTCTGACTTCCCCCCCACTTCCTTCAAAAGTGTAACCTCCTAGAACTCCAAAAGAAGTCATGGGTTTGAGCTGAGGTGCAGATGTAATGCAAAAAGGTTTACAAGGGATTGTGATATAATAGCCAATACCATCACTGTCAACCAATGGGGGACTATGTGTGACAGTTTCCTATATTTAACGAGAAACTTAAAAAAATCAGGGTGACATGGCAGTTCACAATGTCTGTAACTTTAGTTCCGGGGTATCTGGCATCCTCACACAGACACACATGCAGATAAAAATCCAATGTACATAAAAAAAATAAATCTTTAAAAAATCAGGGTGAAAAACAGGACTATAATGTTAAATTTATTATTACCTATTGTTTTACTTACCAATTTTTTTTTTTTTTTGGTTTTTTGAGACAGGGTTTCTCTGTAGCTTTGGAGGCTGTCGTGGAACTCACTTTGTAGACCAGGCTGGCCTTGAACTCACAGAGATCCGCCTGCCTCTGCCTCCCGAGTGCTGGGATTAAAGGCGTGCGCCACCAACGCCCAGCTTTATTTACAAATTAAGTATTCACAAATTTATTAAGGAACAAACTGCACTAGAACCTGGAAAGCAAGACAATTCTTGTTCTGGTGTTCACAGACTGAGACACTAGACAAATACAGGGTTATGATACT